CTATCTAGCCTTGAGATCACAGGAGTAAACACAAATGAGGAAGCTTTCAGTGGCCAAGTCACAGAAAAAAAATCACTCAAACAGAACTAACAGGAAAGTAAACGCTTTCAGATAAGGTTTGTTCAGGGATCCATCTCCATTTATCTGCAGTTCTCTCAGCTTTCCCCCTCCTCTGTGCTTTAACTTTGTCCTCAATGAAACTGAAGCAGTTCATGATCTTAGATCCGCTGTCCACTCTACAGAAGAAGGAAAAGAGTTCCTCTCCTATCGCAGTTTGGATTTGATTTTAATGATATCCATTTATGCCCTGTCTCCAGGAAGTGCAGGATTACCTGTGCTTACTTACTAATCTGCAGTAAACAGTTTCACATGGATTTCACCACAGCTGTTCACAGAGAAAGAAGAGTCAGGAGTGGAGCACGTCCTCTGGGTGTCAGGCCCCTGCACTGAGAACCTTCTAGATTCAGGGAGAGATTGATGCCAAGACACAGGGAGATCTTCCAGATACTCAGGGCCCACAGATCCTGAGAGGAGACAAGGCCCTTCCTCCCGAGATGACAGAGAGAAAGCCTTCCGCTAGAATTGACAGCCTGAGTTTGGACTTCTAGCCTAGGCTGCAAGAGAATAAATTTCTGTTTGTTAAAGCTATCCACGTGCGGTATTTCTGTTATAGCAAAACAACAGAACTAAGGATGTGGTCCTGGGAGTAGGGGACTTCTCTAACAGCTACCTAAAATATGGAAGTGGTTTTGGAATTGGGAAATGAGTATAGGGTGGAATACCAAAGTGCCTACTAGTAAAAGCCTCCATAGCCCTGAAGAAACTGGGGGTGGAATTATGAATGGTTAAGGCAATTCTCTGGTAGTGTAGTGGTTACGAATCGGGCTGTGAACCGCCAAGGTCAGCAATTTGAAACTACCAGCTGTTCCGCGGGAGAAAGATTAGGCTTTCTGCTCCCGTAAAGATTTACAGCCTCGGAAACCCTCTACAGGGTCGCTATGAGTTGGAACCGACTCCACGGCACACAGCAACAACAAGGCAATTCTGGTGAGGGCTTAGGATGTGAGGAGAGTTATAGCCCCAGAGATGGCACAGATGGCAAGAAGCAGTAGCAGAGAAACAGTAGCAACAGAAGGTGGAGCCTGACCCAAGATGGCCTGGGAGCCAGCCCATGAGTGAGGGGGCTTACTGGCAGAATGGGGTGCCTCCAGGCACTTACCAGTAGAACTAAAGGGCTTGTAACACTTGCCCGAATAGGGCAGAAGCTGGGCCTGCCCAAGAAGCCCAAGGAATCAGGAAACAGACACTGAAGAGAAAGGAGCAGAACTGCCCTTCTTAAAGGGTAGGGCCATGACCTCTGGGGTCTCTGATCTTTGATGTGGTGAAAAACATGTGAAACTGTTCACTATAGATTAGTAAGTAAGCACAGGTAAGCCCTGTTGGTGGTGGTGGTGTACTGTGAAGGAATAGTAAATTTAAAAATAGATTTTGATTCTGTAGGAAGGTGCTGTGAGGCTGGAAGAGAGATGCCAGCCAAAACTAGCAGTAGGATCTTTGAGGTGGTGAAGAAAAGTGAAATGGTTTACTACATAGTTGTAAGTAAGCATAAGTAAAGCCATGCTTACCTTGCTTATTGGATAATCCACCACCTTTGCATGCGCTCTTAACTCAGTCACTGTGGCAAGGGAGGGCTGGGATCCCACTGACTGGCTTGGTCTAATGGCAGGATCAGTTTCACCCAGGCTTGATTGCTTCATGATGGGGGAGGAGTCGGATGTATAGGGGGCAAGTAGCCAAAACTGTCTGTTACACTTTGAAAAGAAAATTCCTTTGAGTAATCCAACAGTCCCTAATGAGGACAGCAGACATTAATCAACCCACTCTATCATGTGTCATGTTGGGCCGTTTAACGTGAAGCTCACTGCTGTGAAGAGAAGATTTATTGTACCAAAGACTCTTTATTATATTACTGTTCACAATTAACAAGGATGGATTAAAAAAAAAAAAAAAAAAAAAAAAAAACTTGCAAGAAGACCAGACATTAGACATAAACAAGGACACTACAAACAGTAAAGAAAGCCTGGGCTGATTGTGACATCCCCCACTCCAGGCTGGGTATGTGTTGGAGACCACAGTGAAGTCTCTCACCAGGGAAGGCTGAGGGCCTGGTGAGGTGCCAGGAGCCTACAGCAAGAGCTGGATATCTGGGTCCCTGAGCATAATAAGTTCCTTATGGAACTTTTAGTCAAACAGAATACCTGCACTTTCAAAGTCACCTAACATTCTTGCTCCTGGAGATCTTGTTTTCACCCCTTTTTGTTGGTTCCTAGTCTTGCGTCCACATTAGAGGAACTGTCCATTTGCCCATTGGGCTGGAGAATCCAGGAAAGAATATGGATGCTGGGGACCTTCTTCCTTGCTCCTTCTTCCAGTCCCAGTTTCCCTTTGCCTCTGCTCCGCTTGCTCCTGGTCATGGGTCTTATCCTGCCCCTCCCATCTACTGATAACCCAAAACCTCTAGAATGCACCCTATGGTGGACAAGCTTTCTAATTAACATCCCAAACTTCCTGGATTCCCTCTCACTTCTCCTCAAAATTCTGAAAGACATGTCTCTTATCTTTTTCATGTTAAGGCCAGGCCAGCAATTCAATGAATACTAGCCCAAATCTCTACATTTAAAAAGGATAGAAGTACTGTAACTTATCACAGCATGAACCTGAGAATCTCAAAAGAGGAAATCTCTTCTTCTTCCCTGGGACCTTCACACAGCTGAAATTTAAAAAAAATTCCCAGTAGAATTTGGTCACTATTTGCATCCATGAATTGAAGAACATAATTCTCTCAAAAGCGAACAATGCTGAAAAGTTTTCTTTAAATTAGAATTAGTTGTTGAAGCCCCATCAGGAAAACAAAACCTAGCTACTGTCTTAGAATCTGGGACAGATTTGAGAAAATCAATGATCTTATAAGTACTGATATATCTCTGTGCGTTTAATTACAGGGAAACCCCGGGTTATGAATGAAGTCCATTCCTAAGTGTATTTTTAAGTTTAAGTAATTATTTAAGCCAAATTTGTAGGTAAGTCTGAACAGGTGCATATAGTGCTTATTTAGCCTTACTGTAGTGCAAGAAAAGGCTTTTCAATAATTTCAAAGTTGCATGTGTAGCAAGCAAAGGTGATTCTGATGAAGAATTTGTTGCCAGTAGGGGTTAGTTCAATCATTGCAAAGTGAGGGCAAATTTACATAACGTTAAAGGGCAAGTACATCTACTAGCAACACAAGTTGTCCACAAATTGGATGTAACCTAGGCACTAAATCAGCAAACAAGATCTGTTCGTTGCAAGCATTCACGATTTCCACTCAGAGAGGTTGGAAGATGTTGGATGGGAGAGAAATACCAGAGCCCAGGTCATGATCTAGGTCTTCATAGGTGCTCACTTTTCCATTATTCTGAACACTCAAAATAATGGCTTATAAGATTGAGGATCATGGATGGTCCCAAATTTTTACCACTCTAGACAAAAAGAGAGAGAGATAGAGGTAAGACTTTTAGAAAAGATATATTTCACAGATACTTATGAGAAACTTTAGATTGGTAAATTATTAATACTAGTTGAGTATGATTATTCAAATCAGATTCAGACATTGTATATTTATACATATTAGCTTATTATATTTTTATCTTATGAGGCAACCTTCATTTTGTTCATTTCTTAGGTGAGAAATTAAACCCAGAGAAATCTAAGAACTTGTTCAAGATCACACAGCCAGTGACAGGAGGTTTAAGGATTTGAGCCCAGGTCTGCCTCTAAATCCATAGCTTATTTTCCTTGAAAGTCCTCCCAAGAGAGATAAATATCACAAGCTAATTTGTGTTATCTCCTTAGAAAATCTCTTTAGAATTGAAGTCTAGGTGGAGAGAAAGATTTGTTTTTAGACAGCCTGGCCAGAAACCACATTTCACATGTTTACATCATTTTTCTGGCCTGACCCAGGATCACGGACGTTAAAGAGTCTAGAAACTGCCATCACAATCTCGGAGTCATTTCTATCAAAGTTTATAATTTTAAGAGACGTTAACTTAGGTCAATTCAGACTCATGGTGTCAGAGTAGAATTTCTCTACAGGATTTTCAATGGCTGAATTTTTTCCAGAAGTAGCTTGCCAGGTCTGTCTTCCAAGGCACCTCTGGATGGGATCAAACCTCCAGCTTTTTTATTAACAGCTGATTGTGTTGACTGTTTGCACCACTTAGGGACCTTAAGGGCATCTAAATTAAGTGTTTTCTTTTATTAACGAAGAAATCAAAGGCCAGATAAACTAACTGACATGTTAAAAGTCACATGTTAGAGACCAAACACATAACCTAAATGAAATAGTTTACAATCACTATTTGCGCTCATCTGCTAACCAAAAGGTCAGCAGTTCGAACTCACCAGCAGCGAGAAAGATGTGGCAGTCAGCTTCCCTTAAGACCATTTAGTGCTGTTGAGTCGGATCTGACTCATAGCAACTTTGTATGAGGTTTCCATGAGTGGCTGGTGGGTTTGAATTGCCAATCTTGGGGTTAGCGATCCAATGCTTACCCTATAGTGCTGATTTTGTTGTTGATGTTGGTAAGTGCCATCGAGTTGGTTCTACTCATAGCAACCATACAGGGTTTCCAAGGAGCTGCTGGTGGGTTTGAACTCCTGACCTTGTGGTTCTAACTGACCTTACAGGGCCACACGAAACTTGGAAATCCTATGAGGCAGTTCTACTCTGTCCAATAGGGTACCAAGAGAACAAAGGGTTTGTTTACAAGAGCAGAGTCAGCTTTACAACACTGGTTTATTTATTTAGCAGAAAGCTTCCTCCTAGATCTTTCTCTTTTGATAATATAAGCAAACAACCCCAATCCTTTAGTGCAGCCAGAATTTGGTGAAGATACAGAGCAAGGTCCCTATCCTGCCCAGGGGCATTTTACAGAGAACAACCAGAGAGCCCACAGACTCACCTAATAGTCAGGGTGGGGCATACTTCCCGTGTTTATATACGGATTTTGTAGTTGTCTGTCTTTGGAGGCCATAGTCTGGACTTTAGGGAAGATACTACCATCTGCTCCAAAGTTGGTGAATCCTGTTTGCTGCAGTTTCAGATTTTGAAAGTCATTCTCAATCAAGTTCTGTTCTTCACCATCCTTCCTTTTGTTCTTTAATCTGAAATCAGGTAATAGAAATTAGGATCTGACAGAGGTACTTTGAAGTAAAAGTGTTTAAATTTTTTAAGTTTTGAAATAATTCAAAATTCACATATAGCCTGCCATATACCCATCACCCCAATTCCCCAATTGTTAAACATCTCAGAACCATTTGTGAGTAAGTTCCAGCCCATGAATTGTAATTATGTCTCGTATTACCTATATTTAGGGATGGTCTCCACATGTAAGCACCAAATATTCAATAAAATCAGGGTTTTAATATGTACTGGATGTTAATAATTCACAAGTGTACCTTTTAAGTACTTATGAAAATAATAGTAGAAGTCAAAAAGAAAAGATGACGTGTGAAACAATTCTTCATTCAAGCAAATTCAAAGTCTATAGGAGCATCTCAGTGGGCACAATGAGCTCACTATAAAGACGTTAAAAGAGTAATGTGATACAATATGATGAACTTGACCTATACCTATGGATGCAGTAGCTCAAAAAAGGGAACAAGTCCTTACAGCAAGAATCATTCCCACCTCCTCCACACAGAGTAGACAGGGATGGGCAACTTGGACATTGGCTACCCAAAATGGGGTGGGGGGTGGGGGCTACAAAGGCAAGAAGTGACTGGCTTACAAGCATTCAAGAGGGAACCTAGAGCCATAGGGCCAGGAGGAAGGCAGAATCTCTAGTGAGTAGTATCGATACCATCTGTCTAGGTGGGGCTGATGAAATGAAATACAGATGGGTCTCTTGTGATACAACAGTGAATAATTGTTATCAGGACAGATTGTGAGGGTTGGAAATGTAAAGATAGATGTTTTATAGCAAGGAAGGGAGTGATTAACTTTCCAGTCTAGGAGTAGAGGTCCCTAGGACCATTAACGGAGAAGAGCGGAGAGCAGGACCCTACCCAGAGAAGCAGTGATGCCTGAGATGGAGGCAGAGATGATGACGTGGAGAGATGGAGTAGCTGGGGACTTTAGATCCAGAGAGGGAGAGGGGTTGTGTGCTGATGACTGGTGGGGCAGGCTTGTAGGGTATACCCTTTGGTTGGTTGATGATGCATGGAGGGGATTATAACCATGGCAATAAAATGATATACGAAAGAATGAATGTAAAACTAATGCTCTCCCATGTAAACTATCACATGACTCACAATAAAGCCTTGGCAAAAAAAAAAAAAGAAGAAGCAATTTGGACTTTCAGGGCAAAGTGGCGAACTAGGTAGACACACTGAGCCAGCCCGTCTGTACTCTGCAGCAAGGACACAGGAGACTGAGTGAAACAGACATGGATGATGATTCTGGAACCCTGAGCTTCAGGGGAAAGGACAGAGAGATGGATTGAGTGCTGACTGGGAGAGGAAGTTGACAGAGTGCAGCGAGCATAGAGACATGAGTGGGCTGTTGGCTATCCTGACCATCGTGAGCCTTTGGGGGCAGCTATCAATTGACACAGTGGCCTAGAGGCACAGGACCAGTGCTGGAGGTTGGCAGCAAAGGGGATATTGTTCTCCCTTGTTGCCCATGCCCTCCTGGTGGCTGGGGGCATGGCCAGCCCCTACCCTCACCTGCTTGGTGGCTAGTCACACCTTCTCTTACACAGCATCCGCTCCTGGCTGGGGTCAGATGCTGGGTGTACCAACCCCACATTCAAGGGCTCATGAATTCTATTCTTACATCTTTTATTGCTGTTGTCTGTTTTGGGGAGATAGTAATTTTGTCTTTATAACCTAGTCACATCTGTGCCTCCTTTGGTTTCACCCACTGGGCAAGCAAAGTGCCATACCCACTCCTATATCACCTGATCAATGATAATCAGCAGCCAACATCAAATAAACTCATCCTGAAGGATATCACACAAATAGCAAACTGGGAACTGCTTATATACTTCTAGTCTCTATCTGGCACACTGACTGGGAGACAGGAGATAGGTGCTGATCATGCACCCATGTACAATCATCAATTAAATATAAATCTGATACCACGATGTCTCGAAGACAGGGGATCATTTCAATGTATGTGAAGAAACAAGACAGAGTAGCTCGGACAAGTGACCACAATACAGAGTCAGAAAATGTAATATCAGAAAAGGTATCAGAACTACCTGATGAGGAGTTCAAAAGAAAAATATTTAGATACCTTCAATGGCTAGAGAGAATGATCAAGAAAGCTGCAGGTGAAAGCCAGGAGAACACAGAAAAAGCTTTAGAGGAATTCAGGAAAACATTACAAGAACAAATGGACAAAATAAATGAAAAATGAGAAACCAAATAAAAACAGTAAATATAGATCCAGAAGAGTTCAGAAACAGAAAATACACTGAGTGGGTAGAGAGTAAGAATTGAATCAATGGAAGGCCAAAACAATAAGTGTGAAGATAAATCTCTCAATATTCATCTACTGGAGGAGTAATTAGAAAAAAGAACAACAAAAATCTCAAGAAAACCTAAGAATTATGTAGGGCATCATTAAGAAGAAGAAATTACATGTGACTAAAAACAAAAAGCAGAAAAAATTGCCTAAGAATTGTTGAAGGAAAACTTCCCTAACATTATGAAAGATGAGAGGATATGTATTTAAGAAGCTGAACCAATTCCAAACAGTATCGATCCAAAAGAAAACCATACAGACACAATATAATCAAACTCTCCAAAACTAAAGACAAGGAAAGAGTTTCTGAGAGCAGCTCAGGAAAAACTAACAGAGAGGTCAGTGGTTTGAAACCACTAGCAGCTCTGCAGGAGAAAGATGTGGCAGACTGCTCCTGTAAAGATTGGTGTTGTTATGTGCCATGGAGTCGATTCCGACTCATAGCAACCCTGTACAGGGTTTCCGAGGCTGTAAATCTTTACAGGAGCAGAAAGCCTCATCTTTTTTCCTGCGGAACAGCTGGTAGTTTTGAACTGCTGACCTTAAGGTTCACAGCCTGATTCGTAACCACTACGCTACCAGAGCTCCTCCTTGGAAACCCTATAAGGCAGCTTCACTCTGTCTTTTAGGGTTTACTGTGAGTCAGAATCGACAGTTGTAGGCCTGTTTTTTGTTACTGTTTTTTTTTTACAGAATGTGTTGTGGATGTTAAGTGATGCATACCAGTACTATCATTTTTTAAAATAGAAAAAACCCTGGAAGAATATGTGCCAAAATGTTAGTAGTTGTTGCCTTAGGATGATGGGATTTGTGGGAGATTTTTAAATTCTGTAATTCTTTACACATTACTCTATTTTCTAAGTTTTCTTCAGTCTTTGTGTCTTGCTTATGTAATCAGAAAGAAAACTAAGGAGAAAAAGGAAAATGGCATTAGTGAGGCCTCCCTCTATTTCCCTTGTCTTGAGTGGGAAAGGCGGATGTCTAGAAACCAGAGTATAATGCTGATGGTGCTGTGCGCCAGAAAAGGAACACTTTCATTCCATACCTTGATGAGACGATAAATGCAATCACCATGCCTATAATGAGGATGCCAGCAATGGTGCCCACAATGGTGAGGATCAGCTGGAATTCTGAAAGGGAAGAGAAGGATAGAAATGACCATCCACAAGCAGGTCCCCAAGTGCTCACGGCGTAGGCTTATGTGTGTGTTCCCAGTGACTCTTGACTGAGGAGCCAGGCTGGTGGGTGCCTTGTCTCCTTTCTCCGTTATGGTGTCCTCCAGAACTCATTCAGGACAGACAGCCTTACCAGGTAAAAGAAAGCCTTTTTCATTCATTGACCCATAAATACAAAAGTGACCATGCTGATCCTTAGTCTTTGTGAACTTTCAGAAGGAGTTGGATCTTAACCAAGGTCCACTCTTTCCTCCTTACCACTCTGCCTTTGCCCACCCACCATACCTTACCTAGTGATAAGGCTAATTAGTGAGCTAGTGGAACTATGCTGAAATTATACTAGTTACTAATATAGTACCAATAGCTCTGGTAGCGTAGTGGTTACGAAATCAGGCTGCTAATCTCAAGGTCAGCAGTTAGAAACTACCAGCGGTTCCATGGGAGAAAGATGAGGCTTTCTGCTCCCGTAAAGATTTACAGCCTCGGAAACCCTGTGCAGCGTCACTATGGGTTGGAATCGACTCGACAGCACTTAACAACAACAACCAGTTACCATTGAGATGATTCTAACTCATGGCCACCCCATGTGTTTCAGAGGACTCCATAAGATTTTCATGACTGTGACCTTTTGAAAGAAGATTGCCAGGTCTTTCTTCTTAGGCACTTCTAGTTGGGTTCAAACTGTCAGTCTTTCAGTTAGTAGCCTACTGCTCAATTGTTTGTGCCACCCAGAGACTGCCATATTACTGATACATTGTTGTTCTTAAGTGCCATCAAATCAGTTCCAACTCAGAGCTTTCGAGGAGTGGCTAGTGGGTTTGAACCACCAACCTTGTGGTTAGCAGTCCAGTGCTTATCCTACAACACCACATCAGTAATCCTGAAATGTGACTAGAAGTATAAACTATACACAGGATTTCAAAGATTTACAATAAAAACAATGGAAAATATTTCACCAATAATTTTGATATTAATTACATATTGACTTGATATTGTTGTTGTTAAGTGCCGTCGAGTCGATTCCGACCCATAGCAACTCTGTATAGGGTTTCCAAGGAGCAGCTGGTGAGCTTGAACCGCCGACCTCGAGGTTCAAATGGCTTTGCAGTCTGGCGTATTAACCCATAGAGTGGGTTAAATAAAACATATTATTAAAATCAATTTCAATTATTTCTTTTTACTTATTCCAATTAACCTGCAAACATTTAAAGTTTAAAACCAAATATGCAACACACATGCTATTTCCATTGGCCAGCACTGCTCTGTGGTTACGTGCCGTCAGTTCACAGCGACCCTTTAAGCTAGAGTAGAAGTGCTTATAGGGTTTCTTAGGCTGAAGTCTTTATGGGAGCAGATCCCAGGTTGTTTGCCTAGGCAGTTAGTAGTCTAGTGCTTAACCACCGTGCTATGAGTACACTTCACCTGCTCTCCTGATTGCTGTTGAGACAACCTGACGCACAGCTGCTCTACTAGATACGGCAGAACCGGCCCACGAGGTTTCTGAGACTGTACACTACCAGACCACTCTGATTGTCTTTTTCTGTCACATGACAGCCACATATGCCACCTCCAACCTGGATTCATGGGGGCCACAGACCAGTAGGCAGAAGCCATGGTGGCACAGTGGTTAAGCACACAGCTGCCAACTGAAATGTGACGGTTCAAACTCACCAGCTGCTCTGAAGGAGACTTAGTGTAACAATCTGCCTGAAGCCTTGGAAACCCTATGGGGTCGTTCTACTCTGTTCTCTAGGGTCACTGCAGTTAGAATCGACTCAACAGCTATGTTTTTTTGTTTGTTTGTTTGTTTTTGTTTTTTAAATAGAGCATTAGTAAGGCTCCTGGTGGCACAATGGTTAAGTGCTCAGTTGCTAACTAAAAGACCAGCAGTTCAAATTCACCCAGTGGTTCCGTGGGAGCAAAGTCCTGGTGATCTGCTCTTGTAAGGAAATAGTACAGCCTAGGAAACCCTACGGGGCAGTCCTACCCTGTCACAGTACACAAACAATGCCCTGTATAGGGCTTCCAAGGAACAGCTGGTGAAACTCCGACCTTGTGGTTCTAACAACATTGAGGTCTAGTGCTAATCCTACGATGCCACACCAGGATATAGTGCATTAAGTAAAACAGATGATAAAAATTAATTTCACTTAAAGAGGAAGACCCCCAGTGAGATGGATTGGCAAAGCTGCAGTATCAGTAGGCTCAAGCATGGCAACAATAGTGAGGTTGGCCCAGGATCTGGCAGAGTTTCGTTCTGCTGTGTATAAGGTCACTATGGGTTAGTACCGACTCAATGGCACCTAACGACAACAATTTACCTAGAATTTTTAAAAGTTTTAAACCAAATACGTAACTCACATATTTTATACACAGGATCACTTTGAGTCATCATGAGCGCTGATAGCATGCTGTAAAATAAACACTGGACTGGAGTTAGCAGGGTCGGTGGTTCAAACCTACCATCTGCTCTCGGAAACCCTATATAGGGTCACTGTGCGTTGGAACTGACTCAATGGCACTTTGTAACAACCACATGCCATAATTGACAGCACACAATGATTACTTAATCTGCAAACGTTCACCAGCATCATCTCGTCCAAACCTCTCGGTTTATAAGTGTGGAAAGTGGAGCACCAGAAGGAAGAAATGACTTAGCAAATCTATCATTGCAACAAAGTACCATAAAAATTGTGAGCGTTTCTCATCATGAATTTTGATGCTGTCTCAAAGGCCAATGGTAATACTATTTCCCTCATCTTGGATCATTAATCTTTAGCTCATTATGTAAAAATTGAAATATAGAGTTAGTATTGTTCCAATCAGGTGGGGATAGGACTGGGAAGAGAACAAAGCAACTGAATTTGCAGTAACACATTTCAAAGCCATCCATTCGTCTAAGACAAAGGGAAGAGCTGAGTATTTAAATGTTTACTTTCTAGTTCTGCTCTCTTGTAAACACGAAAAAATTTGGAATGGGCTAGTCTTTTTTTTGTTGTTGCTGTTTTTCCAGTACCAGAAAATATATATTGAAGCTGGTATAAAAAAAAAAAATGAGCTTAATTTTAGAAGACATCGGGAGTATTCCTCTGTGGTCTGGGGACAAGCATGGAGGCACCATGCTGGCCCTTGAGCTGACTTCCTTTACTTCCTATATCTGAGGTGTTGCTGCCTATGTCCCAGACTGGGATGGGCCGGGATGACATGGCCTGGAAGATAAACTAAAAGTAGATTTTCTCTCTCTTTACTTGGATGCACTGAGCAAATTTTTGAATATGGTTACTATTCGTTTCTCAGCTGTTTAAATAATGAGGCAAGACTTCATACTCACGGTCTTGGCAGTTGAGTCCACTGTAGCCAAACGGACACCTAAAATACAGTAAAAATAAGAAACCATGGGAAAGGGTCTCCATGGGAGAGCAGATCAGAGTTCCCACCCCACCTGATCTCCATTTCTTCCTTTCTTTCCTTCACTCAGGGTCCCTGGATGGCACAAGTGATTTATGATGGCAGCTAATCTAAGGTTGGCAGTTTGAAGCCACCCATCAGTACCTCAGAAGAAAAGCCTGGTGATCTGCTTCTCTAAAGATCACAGCCAAGAAAACCCTATGGAGCCATTGTACTCTGTATACATGAGGTCACCATAAGCCAGAGCTGACTGAACAGTAATGGATTTTCTTCGCCCCCTCCCTCCCTTGCTGCTCCCTTTCTCTCTTCCTCCTTGTCATTGTTGTTGCTAGTTCCTGTTGAATTGATTCTGACTCACGGAGACTTCGTGTGTGCAGAGTCAAACTTCTCCACAGAGTTTTCAAAGGTAGGAGCTTTGAGAAACATAGCCAAGCCTGTCTTCCAAGGAGACTGCATGGTTTTGAAACACCAGCCGTTGGTTTAGTAGAGCACCTATTCAGTTGTGCCACCTATTCTTCCTTATGTCCCCTCATTCCAGTGGTACACCTTCCACGGGGCTCTGGAAAGTTGTGAGCAACGTGATATCTCCTGTGGTCCCATCTATCACTGACTGAATACTAGCTTCTGAGCTCCAAGAAGATATTCTGCAAGTCAGGCAAAGCTCATGCCAAGAGGCATGGAGCATGAAGGGCCACATCAGGCTATGAGGTCATGTGACTCTGCTATTTTTTGCCTTGTGATCTTAGGCATGTTATTGAAACTCTCTGAGCCTTAGTTTCCTCACCTGAAAATGGGGAAAATAATATAGTCCTGGTGTTGTTGTTATTGTGTGATAGGTATTAACTAGTGTAGTTAATAACTAGCACATAAAACAACAACAACAACAAACCTTACAACAAGACAAAACCCTTTGTTAGTACATCAATTCCTACTCATGGCAACTCTAGAGGTTAGAGTAGAACTGCCAGCTAGGGTTTCCAAAGCTGTAAATTTTTATGGACACAGATTGTAAAATCTTTCTCTCATGGAGTAGCCGATGGGTTTAAACCACCGACCTTTTTGTTAGCAGTCCAATGCTTTCCCACTGCACCACCAGGCGTCTGTCAGCACTTAGAGGAAGTGGAAAACCATTTATGATGATGATGCTCACTACCTGTCAACTCAATGCCAGTTTACCAACTTCCTCATCTAAACTCAAATTGCAAGCTCTGTCTTTTTACCTATTTCCAGCTATGGCAAGGTTTAAAAAAGTGATTTTTCTCTTACGTTTCACATTCCCCCTTATTGTCCCGGTAGCCAGGCAGGCACACACACTCAGAGATACTGCCATCTTCCTTCAGTAAGCATTGCTTCTTGTTTTTTTCATTGCAGGTATCGGGACACACCGGAGAGGAAGCTTCAAAAAAGAGTTGATTCCTGGGTAATTCTTAGACCCCCAAACCATTTCAACCTGAAACCAACCCTAAACCAACCCCAAAGTGACATGTCACAAAATGCAAATGTTCTCAGCTTGCCTTTTGCAGGTAGAATGAAGATATCTGAAAGTACTCATGGGCATGCCCTCAGTGGAGCTGCCTCACAAGCCCCTGGCCAAGGCCCCAGTCCAGAGGCAAATGTCAGATGCCCACATTCACATCGCTCAGACTCTGAAATGGAGAGTTGAGCAGGAAAGTCCACCCGAAAGGAGAGAGCAGGGGTTGTGACGAGCACCAAGAAGCAGGTAGAATACATACCAACACAGACTGCGACCTGTGGGTAAGGTCTTTGGTATCCGTCTTTGCATTCACATTGTAAGCCGTTGTTGCAGTTACTGACACCATCCCTTTTACAACCATAATAGTCACACCGATCTTTCACTAAGCAGAAGGCACAAATAATTCAGGAATACATTTAGCAAGACATATGGACAGATTAATCTGTTAAAGTACCCTAATCCCTTGTGGTTAGAATTTGTCTTTTAGTAAATTTTGGGATTTACCCAATGAAAATCTGTGATTCTGAAATCCAGCTCCCCAATCTCTCTTCTACCATAGCTGTTTCCTTATGTTTTTCAATCCAAATTCATTCAGTCAGTGCAATGCAGTTATGGTGAAAGTTTAAGATCTGACCTAGCTTTTTTTTTTTTTTTTTAAATGAACTTTGATTTTTATTTCTAGACTTCAGAAAACAATATTGGTATCATTCTGCATATAACTGGAAAAATGACATTTAATTTTATTATCACCAAGATTGTCAGAATATGTGAGAAATTATGTATCATCAACAACTACACATTTTAATTACTCATTTAAATGAAGCAACATTCAATATCATATTCATACATAGTTTTACAGTTTTCTTGGTGCCCCATGGGAAAAACAGAGTAGTGTCCACTTTCTGGTGTATTCCAGCCAACACAGTAGGCCTGCAGTAGTTCTAAGGGCCACCTGAAATCATTCTCTTCAATTCACAGTTTAAATCAGGAAAAGTTAGGTGAGCCATGGACAGGAATTTGAAAAAGCTTTCCGGTAGGAGGACCCAAAAATCTGCCCTCATCACGGCTCCAGTCAGCAAAAAGCAGCTTCTATGGGTGAGTCACTGTCTGACCTAGTTTTCACAAGTGGCATAGTAGCCATATATGCTTCGGGCCCCGATTTGTAGAGTGACACATTTGAACCAGACAGAACACCACAAAACAACTCCTAATCCAATGCCAGGCTATAGGGTCCAGATTCTAAGTACAATGGGAATTTTCGTCTATCTTTTCTGCCAGTAAGAGTTGAATGGACATTTCTAACAAGGAACAGAAGCCCAAGGCAGAGTGGAGCCTCCATCTGCTCTGGTGGAAGAGTATGCCTTTTAAAATCCCAGTGCATTTACGTCCCAGGTAAGAGCACAGTGAGAATCATTGTGAAATAGTGAAGGAGAGAAAAGGTTCGGGAAAACTGTAACTGAGCATGATTTGTTTAAATTTGCAAAAAAAGAAATACATTTTCACAAAGTAGACCAGGTAGGTTACAATCATCAAAAAGCAAAAAAGAGGGATGGGGGAGAGTCAGGAAGGTGATGGGCAGAGTGGTAGACAGAGATCCAAGAAGAAGGGGATTTCGTGAAGGGAAGGATACCAGTGTCAAATGCAGCAGAAAAGTCAAATAAATTCGCAGCTCAACAATCCGTTGATGGTACCATCAATGGCATCCCTTTGGATGTGGCAATCAGGATTGAGAACAAGTTGCACAAAGCCTCCTCTGGGCTTGGCCTTAGCAAGGCACTTCTAAGGAACTTGTGATATCTGCTGTGGTGCCACCTTACTGACACCTTCCTGTACCCATACCCTTTGGAAAGTGTGTTTCACACTCTGCTTGGTCATGTGGATTGTTTTAGCCATTGGGACAGTAGCGACCATGACATAAGAATAGACTTGAGAAATACATGTACATTGGAACTTTCTCTCTTGCTGTTCTTGAAACTCTTTATGACAACTCTGCTGGCAGATGAGAGACCACATGGAGCAGAGACAAACCGTCCCACTGAACCATCTTTCATGAGGCAGCCCCCAGCCAACCCAGCAGCTAATGACAGGGGCCTACGTGAATGTAGCAGAGAGGAGCCCAGCTGAGCCAGCCCAAATTCTGATCCACAGAATTAAGGGGCTACAATAAATAAAAGGCTACATTAAGTTTTGGGGTGGCTGGTAACACAGCGATTGTCAATGACTACAGCTGCTTTGTGACTTTGTGTGCCAGCCTCAAGCAAAATAGTAGAGGAAAAACTTTCCATAATAGTTTGGAAAGCTGTAACTCAAGTCCTCAGTTTTCTCCTTCCTTCATTTTTCCCTGTCCCGGGATTATTTCTCTGATCATTTATATTTTCCAAAAAGAGTAATAACAAACCAGAAAGTTTGATAATTTGGGAGATGGTGGTGAAAAAAAAAAAAAGGTATAGAAGCCAAGTGAGCAAAAAAAAAAGTTGGGGGAGAGGGAAATAATAGGCTGGTTAAAAGGAAATTGGGAGATATCTGTGGATAGTATCTTTGAATGCAGTTCTTCCCTCATCTCACATGCAATGGTCAAGCTTACAAAAAGGAGGGTAGGTAAACTAGTCTCTAGGTAAACTTTGAATAAAATTATGTAACACTTACTAGAGTATCCCTTAATGCCACTGTCTTCATTGTCAATTGCGTTTTGAATTATTGCAGCCACAGAACTCTGATTATATTTTGTATTTTCTATTAAAATGTTTACTAATGAAACATTAACAATACTCTCAGCATACATTCCAGATCTTGCTGAAGGAGATATGCTAAAAAAAAAAAAAGGAAGAAAGAAAGAAAGAAAGAAGTGAATTAGTGTCCTTAATAAATTGAATCAAAGGATCAACAAATAAGTCTCCCTAACTTCCCAGACTCCCAAATCTTCTAGTATTGACTCACTGCCCTGGGGTCCATTGTATAGAGGCCCAGGGTTACAAGAAGATGGAAGTTTACTGGCTTTGAGATCTCTCTTCAATGTTCTTTCAGAGGAAACATGTGGCTAAAACAATATCTTATAGGAGGTTACTTAGGAGAATTGTACACAATCATTTCTAGATTCCAGGATCCTGGAGCTAACTAGAAGTAGAACAAGCAACATCTGAAATGGTAAATGGCCACTTTTGCTAGAACGGAAAAAGAATGTCTCTGGCTGAGCAGTTAAATCTCAGACTTGTAGTTAGAGAGAGGCAGAAGGGTGTGTGTTCCTCTCTGAGGAACATAGAGAAGCAGTAAACAGCCACAAAGATGGGATTATTCTCAGAAAGAACAAGGAAGTCAGCAGGCAGCTTCAAAGTGGATACAAGATAAGGGCCAGGGCCCACATGATCCAGAGGGGAATAGAAGCAAAGAGAGATGGGCCTATGGGAAACACGGGCTGATCATTTCAAATCGTATTGCCTAATGTTGAGGGCCTACTACAAGTAAGACATTGTCATAGTCAGTCTGCCTCTCTCTCTCCATGTCTGTCTTTCTCGATTGTCAACAGTATAGACTGGTATCCTAACAATGAGTGTGCCAAGTTCTAATTCTTTCAGTACCCTAAGAGGATCAGGTAATAAAACCACAAAGAGAGAGAGAAAGAGGACAAAAAGAGGACTTCAGAAGAAATTTCTTCCTTACCTAATTTGGGGGGTGGGGTGGGGTTAAGATTAATGATAGAGTTTATCTGTCCAAGTTTTTTTCTATACTTCATTTTGACTTTTGAGTAAATAGAGATACTTGAAAAAAGAATCAATCTATTTAGGATATATTTGAAGTCATGTTGCTTCCTCAGAACAATCAAGAAAATCCAAAACATGAAACTAAATTCCATATTTAGGAGCTACCGCCTCAAAAGTGAGTCCAAATTTTTTTTTTTTTTTTTCATCTTTGGTCACAATTGATTCCATATAGAACTGGGGGAGGGGGTAGGTGGGGTGGGAGTGGAATGTAGACACTAGTGAGACAGGGTTACTTTATATATAAATTATTCTACATAGGTTGAAATGACTAGAAGTCTAAGGCATAATTCTGCACTGGTTCATTCCAGTTCTACCCTTGTTAAGAATGTGCATTTTTGTTCCATAAACGGAATCTGAAATGACATTTTAAATGATCCCCAAGTGCTTCTTATGTATACATAGGAATACAAAGGTGCTTCAAAAATTTCATGGAGAAATGGAATGAAAAGATAATGGAATTTTTCCATGAACTTTTTGAAGACTCCTCCTACTTTGTCAGACTTTGCATCCTGTTAAAATGTAGATTCTGATTCAGTATGTGTGGAAAGGCAAATTCTCAGCAACAGATCAAACTGGGATGAACCAGTTTGAAGCCCTGGTTCAAAGTGAGGTTTAGAAATGGGAAATTTTTAGGACCTTTCCAATTCCAACATTTGCATAATAAGCAAAGAGCATGGTGATTCAGAGGAGAGACACAACACTGAGTTGGAACATAAGAAATACCTTCTTAAGTGAGACCCAAGTCCACTCATCCTGCAATGGCCACAAAGAGGTGGAGAAAGCAGTTCCCCTCTATAATACTGGGCTCATGGGTAGAGGTTTGCCTCCAAACACCCCTGGTTCCTTTTCAGTAACTCCTTAAGAATGAAAGGAGTGTTCCAGTTTCAGGTAACTCCCTCAAATGACCCTGTAGTCCCACAACCTCTTTGGGAAATAGAAGTTAATGTGCCTTGAAATTCACTACCTCTGGGTACAGGGACCTTTCAACTCTCTCATTACTTACTCCTCACAAGTTTCTGGGAATTAGATCAAATTATCCCCATTATACTTATGAGGTAGCAAAGGTTTAGAAAAGTTAAAACACTTGCCCCATCATCCAGCAAGCAAAGCCAGGGATCCAATCTGAGTTCCTAGCTGGTTTGAACCGGTGCAATCATGGCAAATACAGTGAAATGGGACCAGACCCAAATTTGTGAAATGTGGGTACACCAGAACAGTAACTGGAACAGGAAAAATTATGGACTGAAGGCCTGGAATGGGAGACTCACAAGAGGCATAGTGAGCCCTTTCAGAAGCCTAGATCATTGCCAGGACTGTGGAGAATGGCACACATTTCAAAGCAGCATGATTGGCTGCCATCTTTGAGTGGGGCACATTTGTTTCCAACTCTGCCAATCCAGTGATTTGTTTGCTATTCAATGTTCGAGTTGCCCTTGTTTTCTAAGAGGGAAATTAAGTTTCGAACAAGGCATCAACCCATTATTGTTCCCATTCTAGTTAATGTTCCAAGTACACTTTGAGCTGGCTCAAAGCAGGTCAGTATTTACCATCATAAAAATGGGCTTCATAGGTATTGCATAGCAATCAAATCTATGGCCTGTGGTATTTTGACTTGAGTGGGAAACAAACAGATGTGCCTTGCTCAAAGATGGTGGCTGGCCTTGCCGCTTTGAATGTGTGTTGCTCTCCAGAGTCCTGACAATAATGTTGACCTCCAAAAATCATGCCACAGTTTTTTCTCCTGAAAATTTCAGGATCCTGATATGGAATATTAGATTACTGGCAGGATTCTGGAGAACAATATACATTCAAAGTTGTGCCATCTTTGATTAGGGCACAGCTTTTATTTTCTATTCAAGTCAAAATACCACAGGCTAGTTTACAAGAGCAATTACTAATTTGAAGCACCGATTCAAATGCAGATTTGATTGACATACCTCACTATTGCGGGTTTTTAATCATCATTCTCTATTCATTAACTCCCTATTGTTCACTAAATCAAAAATAATTTATATGAAAAAACTTCATAACCATCCCTCAGCTGTCTCCTGTGTATCTCCAGCTTCAGTTAGGCAAACACACACATCTGCCTCCAAAATATCCCAGCAGTCCATAGCAAACTTACCTTACTTTAATAATTACAGTCTGTCCATATTCAGAAGTATTGCTAGAATAGTTGAATGCATTCTTAAACTGTGGAGAAGAAGAACATACTTAACAATAAATGTAAGTAAATTAGTTATGTGCCACCAAGTTGGTTCTGACTCACAACATCCCTTTATAGAGTTTCTAAGGCTTTTTAAAATCTTTGTGGGAGCAGAAATTTCTCCTCTTTCTCCTGCAGAGTGGTTGGTGGTCTCAAAATGCAGACTTTACAGTTTAATACAAACAGCAAAAATCAAAAGTGATACTATAGCTAGGTTTTAACATAAAACATTTCTAAACTAAATTATATAGATATGCATGGATCAGAACAACAAAATTACTTATTCTGGTTGTCGTGCACTCTAAGACCATTCAGTAATCTTTGTTGTGAAATAGTTAAGATTCTGATATAAGTCAGTTATCTGGGTATAAAAAAAGATAGAAACCAAATAACACTCAGCCAGATAAAAATATCACACTCTTAAAAAAAAAAAAAGATGATACTAAAGGACAAATATTACATGAAACCACTATTGTAAAAATTGAAGAAATAACTTTCTTACTAAATGAAACATTTTATGATAGTTATAGGGTAGATGGAGGTTGTGGGGAGGGAAAACCATAAAGTGATTAAGAGAGATAAGAACTGTTAACTGAGGGTAGATGGAATGGACTGTAATCATTGTAATGACAGGAAGTGTATAATTTGTTGAATGTGAGACTGATGAGCTGTTCTGTACACTTTCACTCAATTCACAATAAAAATAATCTAAGATGATAAACTTGTTAAAATTGTCTTTTCAAAGTTACAGCTAACTTTTGCATGTGAGTTAGACTTATCTGTATGTATGATTCATGTATTCATCAATGTACCCAAGAAATGTTTATACATTGTCTGTTTTACCCAGGGCATTATGCTAGGAACCCTAGAGATAGCAAAGGTGGGCCAGCCCTGCAGTGGAGTGCATAGATAATTATGCCATAGAGAAATGCAATCTACCATGGAGGCTCAAAGAAACTCTATTCAGTTGCAGAGAATCCAAGAGGACTTCATAAAGCATTTCTGGTAGTGTTGGGACAGGGTATGGGAGAAGGGGCAGCACACACTCTAATGTTCAGAAGCAGTGTGGCTCAGAAGGAAGCAGGCTGGATTTAAAAGAGCACAGGGATTTGTTGAGGCCAAAGTAATAATTCTTCATTTTTGCTATTTTTGCATAATTTAATTTCCTTGAACCTCATTTTGCTGATTGGAAAATTGAAGATAGCAGTAATTACCATCACATAAGACTCCATATGATAAGCACTAGACTGTGAACCACAAAGTCTGAGGTTTGAGTCTGCCAGTCACTCCAGTGGAAAAAAATGAGACGCTGTCTCAAAGTTTAAAAGCCTCGGAAGCGCTATGCAGGGTCGATATTGAGTTGGAACAGACTCACTGGCATTAACAAGAACAAGTTTATAAATGCGTATGAATACATGATACACAGCATTGTGAGCTCAAGAGGCTCCATCGCAGGTGGTTAGTATTAGATCTGGGTTGTGTTCCAAGAATAGAAAACTCCAGGTACTTGTAGCGAGTGGCCAGAAAGAAAACTGGGGCCTCTGGAAGGACAGGGAACTGGGGGCCCCAACTAAAATATAAATTCTTTGATGCCAAGAGCAGGGTTTTCTCCTTCTTATAACATAACTTTCTCCTCTCCCATAGCACCTGTGTTGTTAAGGGCCACTGAGTCATTCTGACTCACAGCTACCCTATGTAAGATTTCCAAGGGATGACTGGTGGGTTTGAACCACTGACATTGCAGTTAGCCGTCTAGTGCCTATCATACAGTGACATATACCACTTACCATATGGCAGTCCTCAACAAGCATTGCTTGATAATTACTGAATGAATAAACATGGACGATATAATCATGACCTGAACATGGGCCTCCGTTTTCTTAGACAAGAGTGTTGAACCAGATGACAGTTGGACCTTTTCATAACCTTTTCTTTTTCTGTTCGAGAAGACCTCCCATTTTAAAAGACCACAGCAATCAGTGGCATTTAAAACGTACAGTTATTTCTTCTTTTAGTCTAGCCAAATTCAAATACATCTGATATTCCAGTTAGTCTAGGCAGGCTTTTATCCAGGATAAATCCCCAACTCCTTCCTGATATTCTAAATATTCAGAATCATTGATATTTCAGTAAACCACTAGAGAGATTCCACTTAACTGAAATTTACACACCAACTACTAAAGCCAGTGATGATGAAATTGAAGATTTATATAAAGTTCTTCAGTCTGAAATTGATAAAAAAAAAAATGCAATCAAGATGTATTGCTAATTACTGGTGAGAGCCAGAACTTCACAGAACTGCCTTGAATTTGTCTAGTGAATTTCTTCCCTTTAAAAGGGTCTTATTACTTATCTGTCACTCTCTATTAGTGGTAAATATTTGCGCTTTCTTTCTTGGACAGGTTTCTGTCCATTTAAAGAGGTTTTAAATAGCTTATTTAACAGTAGGAATAGCATGGCTGGAACACATTTCTAGAGGCCTTCTGTGGATAGGTGTAGGATCTTAGTGATCCAAGGACTTGTGGTTAGGGGGGTCAGTGGCACTTGGGGCTCAGGGAAGCTGCTGGTTATCAACCAGTCAGGGTGCCTTTCACTACTTGAACTGGAACAACTGTACCTGGTATGAGAACAATGAGTACTTATACTGAGAAGAAGGCTGGAAAATACTTACAAATTGGTTAACTTTTTCATGTAAACCTTCATAGGCCTTAGAATTTTTATCTTCCAAGTTAGAAATATCTGATTGGGGTACTTGTACTGTAATGCTCCCAGGGAATATTTTTCCTGAAATTCAAACAGAATTCTTCTGTAATATTTAACGTAAAGAGTGTAATTTTCATTTTGTTTTAAAACATTAGGTGCGGAGGGGCGGGGAGTATCCCAATATAAAATTCATAACTTTAAAAAAAAAAATTGGTGCAAACATACACAGCAAAACAAACACACCCATTCAATAATTTTATATGAATGGCTCATTGACAATGGGCATGCTTATCACTTTTCTCCCTATATAATTTTTTAATTGTAAATATTATATCACAAACTACTGATAATTTCAAAATGCACATAGTGTAGCTAATAATTCCACCGAGCCTACGTAGTCATATTCATTTGTGCATCTGTGTGCTCTAGCATCCTTCTCATCCCCCCTTAAAAAGCAATGAAGCAAACAAACAAAAAACTTTCTATTGTAAATTGAGTGAAGGCTTACAGAGTAAATCATCAGTTTTATGTCCAACAATTCCTTTCACATTTTGTTTCATCTCATCGATTGCAATGTCCACAATGTCATTTCACTTACCCCACGTCCTCCCTGTGCTTCCTGTTTCTGGTCCCTCTTCTTTCCCAATCCTTCTGAACTTTGTCCTTGGGGAAATGCTGCCCTTTTGATCTCAATGGTTGATTATTCTAAGGTGTGACAACCATTTTCATGCTGACATATTTTTCTTAGCTCTTTTTTTTTTAATGTGTACTTTTACATAATTATAATTCTGAGTTTATATTATGCTTCTTTTCCATTTTTTTCTTTTTACATTATGAGCCTTTTTCCAAATTACTACCTAGCCTCATAACAATCATTTTTTTAAAGGTTGCAAAAAGTCCTGTGAAATATTGTTGTTGTTAAGTGCCCTCAAGTCAGTTGCAACTCATAGCGACCCTGTATTGGATTTCCAAAGAGCAGCTGTAGAGCTTGAATTGCCAACCTTGCAGTTCAAATGGCTTTGCAGTCTGGCGCATTAACCCACAGTGCCACACCAGGCCTCCTGTGAAATATATGTCCCTTTAATTGGTATAGTAATTTTTTTTGTTGTTCTTTGACTTATAAAGTGTTAAAGTTTTAAATAAACAAATAAAAGGTTGCAAAGAACATCTTCATGCACAAATATTTTTGTGTGTATGTGTATTTTGAGTAGATTGCCAGGAATGAGATTATTAGTGCAAAAATATGAACATCCTTTCTCTCTCTCTTCTTCTTTTTAAATATCTGTAAGTCTTATAGCCAGCACAATGCATTCATATGCTACAGAATTGGTCTGCTCTGTTAAGTGGGGCTCACAAATCTCCCAACTTGCTCTCTTTCCTCTCTCCAGGTTTCATTGAGACAAAAGGCAAGAAAGAGCCGTTTCTTTCAATCTTCCTCCACTACCAGTATCTGAAGGAGCCCTAGTAGCATCGTAAGTTACGAGCTGGACTGATAACTGCAAGATCAGCAGTGTGAATCAACCAGTCGTTCCACAGGAGACAGATGAAGCTCTCTGCTCCTGTAACGATTTACAGCCTCAGAAACTCTATGTAGGGCTGCTATGAGTTGGCACTGACTGGGTGGCACACCATCACCACCAGCACCAGCATTTGGGGATATATTTGTGCCTTCATTTTGAGTTTTCTTTTTTGAGAAACCGAGCTGTGCCACCCCCTTGTAACTCACCTTCCTCACACTTCTGAGAGTTGTTTTGATAGTAATACCCTTCGGAACACAGGCAAAAATAGATACTGTTCAGAGCAACACAGGAAGAATCTTGTCCACAGGATGAATCTTGGCAAGGACTGGTGGGACCTTAAAGGGAGTAGAAAGATATTCAAAATTCAAGAAACAACAAATAAGACCAGGAAATAGATTTAAAGTTTTTCATGCCTCCGTCCTGGGTACTTTTCATTCTTTGGGCATGTTACTCCCTGGTGAACTTTTTTTTCAGGAGACTTAAAAACAAATAAATATATATTTTTGGTGGTATTGTTGTTTGATGTCACTGGGGATTGTGTTGCTGAAATTCTAGAGCCTAGTCTTTGCTGCCAGTAAAGGCCAGACTTCTTAAGCAAGTTTTCTAAATTAGAGGCCATCCAGAATTTTTGAAACTTAAGGACCCATTAGAATCTTGATGCCTAGTACTAGGCAGGGATTCTTCAAAGCCATTTTATACAAAGCACTATATTTTAAAGTATACTAACTTTCATTTAGAAAGGATCAGGTTAGGAATGTCCTCCAAAACCCACTTCATATTCTGGTTCCCATCCAGCTTGTACAAATGCATGGAGAATGGAAAGGGACCCTGAAGGAGAGGATGTGGACTAACCCTTCCTGACTCCTCCCTGGCTTTCTACCTGGATGAACTGAATAAATGGTGAGAAGAATATTGCAATAACATTCTAGCCACTGATAAGGCAGGGAGTCTTTCCTATCATCTGTTAGTTATCAAAGGTGATCTTGCTTTGCCATGTTCTTCATCTCTGTCAAATGAGATGGTTCTGACCTCTGATGCCAGGATCACGTCAACCTTCAGAGGTGTCTTGAGATTCTTATAAATGAACCTCTAAGTAAAAATCTTTCAATTTGGAGAAGAACTCCTGGTGTGGCACTGTGGGTTAATGCACTGGACTGTAAAGTCAGTTTGAATCGCAAAGTTGGCCGTTCAAGCTCGTCAGTCGCTCCTCAGAAACCCTTTTCAGGGTTGTTATGGGTCAGAACCAACTTGAAGGCGCTTAACAACAATAACAATGTATAAACTTTAGCACAACGTGTGTAGGGTGCTCCTCAGTGATTAGCAAGAAAGGAGGGAAAGAAATACACAGAAAGACAAATATGTATGCTTGTGCATGCAGAGATTATCTCTGGAGGAAGGCACCAGAAACTGGTTGTGATGGTTGTCTTTGGGGAAGGAAATTGGGAACTTTGGTTTTAGGGGTTTGGTATTGGAAGGAAATTTTATTATTAATTTTTTTAAACACTATTTTATTATGCTTTGGATGAAAGCTTACCAAGATTCACTTTTTTTTTTTTTTTTGGAACAAAAGCTTTATTTTTTGAGGGGTGAATTAATTGATAGTGAGATAATATTCAATTGAATACATGCCCATCAGAATGTGGTAGATTGAGAATTGGCCTGGGAGAGACCCAGGGCTTTCCTTAGCTGAGACCATGAGTGACTTGCTTTTTCTCAGATACAATATTTCCATTTGGAAAAGAAAGAAGTAAATTTAGATAATCTGTAAGGTCCTTTTCAAACATATTTCATGACTTTTGTTTCCTCTAGCTTCATATTGGGAGTGAAACAGGGATTATGTCTCTACTTCTTGTTGGGTATCTTTATACTTTTTACTGAATGGGAATATTTGATGTCTCATAGCTGGATAGAGAGAGGCAACTGGATAGTTCATAGAGGATGAGCACTGTCTACAAATAATCAATAAGAAGGCTTGATTTCCTGGCTTACACCATTTTTATTTGCATCATTGTTTATGCCCCACTTGTATTTTTGCCAGTAGATGATGATAGTTCAATAACTTAATATAATCTTCTAAGTCAATTGAAATTGGCATGCGAGACTTTTTATATTATTCAAGACAAGGTTTTAAGGCCTTGGAAGATCTGGCTTTCTATAAATCTGCCTTGGGTTGTAGGATGACCTAAAATAAGGGTGACTCATAATGCCACTAGTAAATTACATCCATGATTCTTCCTGTGATAGGAAAAACTCACAACTTGGTGACATGAGGCAGGCCTGTGTAGAATTTTCTTTTCTTTTCTTTTTTTAATGTTTTATTGTGAATTATATGATAGTCTACATGAGAGAACTTTAGTTTTACATTCATTCCATCATGTGTCATTTCATTGCCATGGTTCCAATCCCCTCCATGCAACCAAGATTCACTTTTTACCATCAATGTTTGTATACTATTTGAGGTGTGTTTTTTTCATTACCATGAACCACATGGGACAAAAGGAAGCATAGCTCAGTATTCTGCAAGCAGAAGTCATGAAGCAGTACTCTCAATAAGGCCAACTGTCTTTTTAAAGCTCCCGCCACACTGCTAGGATTCCTTGGAAAATTCTAGGGAAAAACTGAGTGCAGTTCTGCTTATGGTGACACTAGGAAAATAACTCCTGGAGTGTTTTCTCTCTAGCGGTGAAGGACAGACTGGTTAACTTCTTCTGTGTCCCAGGAATCAATTAAGTCTCAGGATGTTAAATTAAAGCTAGAAGAATCCGTTATGACAAGTGAGCAAATTGAAGCCAACAGCTCCAAGCTCTAAAGTTTCAGGAGTCTTTTACACCAAAAGTTGGCCAACTATGGCTCGTGGGTCAGATCTGGCCTAGCTTTCATTTTTGTAAATAAAGTTTTATTAGACCACAGCCAGGTTCATTTGTTTATGAATTGCCTACAGCTGCGTTCATGCTTCAGCAGCAGAATGGAGTGCTTATAATGTAGAGCACATGTGATCCACAGAGCCTAATACATGTACTTACTACCTGGCTCTTTACAGAGAAAATATGCTGACCGCTGTTCCAGCTCAAGCGTTGGGAAATGAGATGGGTGATTTCTTTTTGAGGTAAATTGTCCTCTCTTACAGAGTAACCCCTCAAGCATCTGTCATTTGGACAATAACTCTGGTCATGCCTAGGACTGTGTGATTTTTCTCACTCCTCAGGCTTGACTTGGTTCAAATGTCAGATTGTGATCTGTCACCATCTTAACTTCAGGGTAGAACTGACTTCTTCCTTAGGTAGATCAGGGAGTTAGGACAGTGGAGCTAGAGAGCCAGTGCTTAGGTAGACCTGGCCTTCTCAGAAAAGCTGAAACTATTTTCCCAAACTCCCCTAGTTGTGGTGGAATGATTGACAATAGATATAAGGGGAGTAGTTGTAGTGGAAAAGCTAGAGAGATAGGTCTTATTAACTCCAAGCTTGCAAAAATATTCCACATCAGACAAACAGTTTGAGGTAGGATTCAGAGGCGGGGGAGGAGGGAACTGAGGCTGATCTTTTAGGGTCTTTGCTATCACTATTAACCTTTGTGAATTTGATTTTAATCCAATGGTTCATATGTCCAGACACTTTGGGTCTCATTATACACATTTCCCTATCCCACCAGAACACAATCACCTCTCATCTTCCACAATAGCGTGAACCCTCACTGAAATACTTTGCGGGGGTTGCTCTTACCTGTGGGATTAGGAGTTGAGGTCAGAACTTCTGAGGTGGTTGTGTTGGCATCATTTTTGGTAGATGTAGGGGAAAGACTTGTTCCCGGAGCTGAGTTTGAAGGAGTTGGAGCTGAGGATGAAGTAGCTGGGACTGAGGATGAATTATCTGGGACTGAGGATGAATTATCTGGGACTGAGTTTGAAGTAGCTGGAGCTGAGGATGAAGTAGCTGGGACTGAGGATGAATTATCTGGGACTGAGGATGAATTATCTGGGACTGAGTTTGAAGTAGCTGGAGCTGAGGATGAAGTAGCTGGGACTGAGGATGAATTATCTGGGACTGAGGATGAATTATCTGGGACTGAGGATGAAGTAGCTGGGACTGAGGATGAATTATCTGGAGCTGAGGTTGAGGCAGAAACATTTGAGTTCTGGCTGTTGACTGAAGGAACAAAGATCAATTTTTAGAAAACAACACTTTGAATAAACAATAGCAGTTGCTACTGGTTAATATTAATTAATGTCCAACCCATTCTTTTTTTGGAAAAAATGAATATATATGACTACATTAAAAAGAAGAATACTAGTAATCTTAGGTCTATATATACTTGTCTATTCTAGCTATTCCATGTGAGTGGTTTCCAGGGGCTGGCAGGAAAGAGGAGGGGATGAAGAGTCATTACTTAGGGCACACTGAGCTTCTGTTAAGGATGATGGGAATTTTTGGAAATAAAACTATGGTTGCACAACTTGATGAACACAATGTCACTAAATAGTACATTGAAATGGCAAATGTTTTGTCATATATATATATATATATATATATATATATATATATCACAGTTAAACAAAAGAAAACAAACAAACAATAATGGATTCTAGCCAGCCTAAGAGGATAACTGACTATTATCTTTGAGTGATCCCAACACAGCAGACCATTACTGGGCCTAAGCAGACTCTTGACCACTGAACAATGGGACAATTAAAAAAATTTTTTTGGAAAACTTTATTAAACAAGAATGTTAATTAAAATGTGAATATGAAGCTACTGTTTCTTGGCATATCTTCCATCTAGTTCTATACACTTCTGAAGGTAGTGTTTCCTTCTCTCTAATCCTTCCCCCAAGGCATTCTGCGCTCTTCAATTCACACCCCATCAAAACTGCAGTTTTGGCACACTTGAGAAACTCCAATTTTGTTCCCTTTCCAGGTTCCTTGAATTTTGAGAACAAAACAAATTTGAAGGAGCAAGATCAAGGCTAGAGGGTTGATAGGGTAAGGTTCCCCAATAAAATGTTCATAGGAAAGCCCTTGTTGCCTTTGCACAATTATCAAGTTAATTGTCATGAGAGTAAAAGACAAAAACGTTAATGGGATGGTTTTAATCAGTCACATACAGATCTAGGGATGCATTCTGTCCTGTACCATGGGCTAGTTTTCAATTTTTATATGAAGAGGCTTCAAAAAGTTCATGGGAAAATTCCATTATCTTTTAACTTTTTATTGTTAAACTGAATGACAATATATAGAGCAGACCATCAGTTGTACATTCAACAAATCATAGACTTCGTTTAGTCTCAGTGATTGCAATCCGCCGCCCCCTACATCAACAGTTATTCCACTTCCTCCCTATGGTTCTTATTTCCATTCCACCCTACTTCCTAGCCCTTCTCCACTTCTTCCTGAAGTTAATGTTGCCCCTTTGATCTTGAATAGTTGACCATTCCATGGTGAGCGTACTTTACTAGTGTTGCTGTCCTCCCTATATACCTATCTTCTACTTGACTGGAAATTTGTTGACGAGGGTGAGTTCTTTTCCAGACCTGAAGGGTGGGCAAGGGTCATAGTCTTGAGTTCCTCCAATCTCTTTCTGACCAGTAAGCCTGGTCTTTTTGATGATTTTCAGTTTTGTTCCACACTTCTCCCACTCTATATGGGACCTTCTAACGTGACCCCTTTCAGAGCAGTTAACAGTGATAGCAGGACACCATCCAGTTCTTCTGGGCTCAGGAATGTGGAGACTGATATTTATGTGTTCAATGAGAGTTCATTGGACTAATTGATTCCAAGTGTCTTCCATTTTCATCAATCTTCTTTCCTCCACACATGGAGAAGCTATGTCGCGCCTCAGACAGCCATCCATCGTCTTTGAATTCCATTTTCCCAGGAATTTTTAAAGCACTCTTATATAAGTATGTTGTTAAGTGCTGTCAAGTTGATTCTGACCCATAGCACCCCTGTATAGGGTTTCTGAGGAGCAGCTGGTGAGCTTGAACCGCTGACCTTGCAGTTCAAACGGCTTTGCAGTCTGTCACATTAACCCACAGCGCCCACACACCATAACCATCATAAAACTCCCCTCCTAACATTTAAGAGTCCCTGAATCTTCCCCTATCTGAAAACTATTCATGACTTCCCCATTGGTGTATATTCCCTTGCCTAGAAAATTAATAAACTCACTTTTTCTTTATTTGTTGAAAAAAATATAGATACATGACTAGGCATAAGCACAAATCACACAATAAATACATTTTTTAATTAAATGGAAAAATTTAAATATATTACTTAAAATTCTTAGAAAAAGGAGTTAATATTTATTAGATGAGTATCAAGAAGTAATATCATTTATGCCTGTAGTTATAGAAATCTCAGGCTATTTCTCAGAGTATTCCTTAGTGAGGACAGTTGAGATACCACCAGATGGCGCTGTTACTACCAGGGAATATGCTTTATAATCTTGAATGCAATTGCCCTATTTTCCCACTGCATGGTGTTTTCTCTGTAGTGAGATAAAAATTCAACACTTTCCAAAAATTTTTTTGATGCACTTGCATTATGGTGTTGTCAAAGATTATTGACTATCTTAAACTACCAGAAGAACAAACAAATCCATCTTGGAAGAAGTAGTCAGAATGGTCCTTAGAAACAAGGGTGGAGAGACTTCATCTCACATATTTTGAACATGTGATCAAGAGAGACCAGTCCCTGGAGAATGACATCATGCTTGGTAAAGTGCAGGGTCAGCAAAAAAGAGGAAGACCGTCAAGGAGATGGATTGTCACAATGGCAGCAACAATGAGCTCAAACATAGTAACAGTTGTGAGACTGGGGCAGGACTGGGCAGTTTCGTACATAGGGTTGTTATGAGTCAGAACTGACTCAATGGCACCTAACAACAACAACAACAAGACTTATCCATTAATTTTTTTTAGGCAGAAATCTTAAAGAGAAACATGAATAAATGAGCCTGGCTTTAAGGGTTATGTTGTTGTTGTTAAGCTATCGAGTCGATTCCAACCCACAGTGATCCTATATAGGGTTTCCACAGAGCAGTTGGTGAGTTTGAACCACCAACCTTGCAGTTCAAATGACTTTTGCAGTCTGACGCATTAGCCCACAGCGCCACAACAGGATTCCAAGAATCATGGTATCATGAAAGTTGTATTTTCTCAACTCTAGGAACCCTTGTGGCTCTGTGGGCTAATGCGTCAGACTGCAAAGTCATTTGAACTGCAAGGTTGGTGGTTCAAGCTCACTAGCTGCTCCTTGGAAACCCTATATAGGATCA